AACGTTTGATGACATCCCGATTGGCCTGCCTGTCAAGGTGTGTTTCACACTACTACATGGTCCAGGTATACATGGAAACCGACTTATTCGAGAACATTTCCTGTCTATTTGTGAGGCTCAATACAGTCAGTTGCGCACTCTTCTGCAAAATGCAGTTTCATGATGACTGTTCTTACTTATTTATTTCTAGTATAGCCTAGTCACTCTGTATTTTATATTACCTGATCTACATATATTTCACTGTGATGTTTAGAAGGTCGCCGAAGTGTTTGAGTAATAGTGTACTAGCTGTCTTAGCAAAGCTTCAGCCAGTTTGAAATAGAAATTTAAATAAAAAGGAGAGTGCTCACCACTCCTATTCTCCAGTTTTGTCAACAACGGACTACAGCCCAACTACCTAGTAAAAGCATGTCAGTCTTCGAGCCAATGGTTGTCAGAGGTGTGATTAAAAACACCTTGACTGCTGGTGAATGTGTAAAGTTTGAGACTAATTGGAATGAATCTGTGAGTTGTTTTGTCATACAATCCAGTTAAAGATAAGAACTTACTTGAAATGAAGGTGAAACAATGTGTCAGAGCATGGGAAGGTAGTCATTCAACCCCAGCCAGTGAATTTCAAATGGCCCAGTACGAATGGGAGGCCCATGTGGTCGAGTATGTGGACTTTGTCAGTTCGGCAACATCTGTTCACCCCAACAGCAAGAGTGGGTCAGTTCCACCAAATCTGAAGAGTAGCATACCTTTTTATGGCCCTCAATTTACACCTCCAACATTTTTGCAACTAGAAAAACGTAAACATCTTCCAAATGTGAAGCCTGGAACTGCTTACATGAAGGAGATAACCATTGTCCACCCCTTCTATTTTGACGGCCTTGATCAATGCCCGAGGTGTCAGTCTCTGGATGTGAAGTGGGGAGGATGGACTTCCACAGGACATCGAGATATTCATGGCATCCAAAGAGAAGAGTACGCACTAGGAGTCCAATTGCAATGCAAGGCCTGCAAAGAGAATAATAAGCAACGTGGTGATCCTAAAAGTGGAGAAGATATGTACTGCTTTGCGACCACAAGTCATCTATTCTGGGAGAAGTGGGAATTTTGGAAGATCCCTCGTTAGTAATTATTGTTTATCTAGCAATGAACAGCTCAGACTTTGAGTGAAGGTCTAAATATATTGAAATAATGTACCTAGCAATGAACAGCTGGAAAAACAAAAGGTAAGCTAGGTACTCGTAATTTAACACTAAAGGGGAATCTCACCTCAGACTTCGAGTGAAGGTCTGAGGTGTCTGCCTAACAACGACAGCGTATATAAGGGAGAACGGAATCAAAATCAAAAATGTTATCTGATGGCGCACGGGCCACTCCATCTACTAGGCCTGCCTAGTTCGGCGCTTGCGCCACTTCCCTTCTTTGTACGACGCTTGTTTCTCTCATATCTCCAACACTCCCCCTCAAGCTCTACAGAGTCCGAGGGCACTTGCAAAGTGCTTGACCTTAGCTGAGGGCAGAGCTTTTGTGAGTACGTCCGCTGTCATATCTTCGGTTGGGCAATAGGTGATCTCAATCTTTCCATCTTCTATAGCATGTCGAATGAAATGGTATCGAATATCAATATGTTTTGTGCGCGCGTGGTATTGACCGTCTTTAAAAAGAGCTATCGCGGATTGATTGTCACATAGAAGGTTAGTCAGTGGTAGATTTTGGTCGAATAACTCATTTATAAACATCCTTGCCCATAACAGTTCCTTGGTTGCATGTGTTGCAGCCACATACTCGGCTTTTGTCGTTGACAATGCAACGATTTCTTGTTGCTTAGAATACCACAATACAGCGCCTCCATCAACCATCATGGCGTAGTCAGATATGGCTCGCCTGTTATTGTTCATGCTCCCATCCGCGTTGGTATATCCGGTGAGTAGTTGTTCATCCGGACTGTATGTTAACCATAACTCTCTGGTTCCTTTTAGGTATTGAATTACCCTCTTTGCTGCCTCCCAATGGGCCGGACCTGGGTTTTCGACGAAGCGTGATAGGATTGCGATGGCATGTGCAATATTGGGGCGAGTTCCGATTGCTGCATACATCAGTGATCCCACCGCTTCTCGGTACGGGACGTCTCGCATTTCTGCATAGTTCTTGAGCAATTTAGGACTTTGATCCTTGCTCAGGTACGTGCTCGCAACCATCGGAATCGCTAATGGTTTTGCGTCTTCTAGGTTGAAGTGTCTGACCACCGTATTGATGTAACTGCGTTGGGACATGTACAAGGTGCGGGAAATCCTGTCTCTCTTGATTTCGATGCCTAGCATCCAATGGAGCTCGCCCAGATTGCTCACCTCAAACAACTTGCCTAGGTCAATCTTTAGACGTTTCATCTCAGTCGCAGACGGTGTAATTAGGGTCATGTTGTCGACGTGGACAGCAATGATAGTGAGTCCTTCTCTTTGGTGTTTGTAGAAAACAGCATGGTCTGTTTTGCACCAAACTAAACCTATCTTTTTAAGTCCGTCGCATAGCGTTTGGTACCACCTACGTCCAGCTTGCTTAAGGCCGTATAGTGTCTTGTTCAGACGTAGTACCATAGATTCACGACCGTGGGCATGGTAGCCTGGTGGCTGTTGCATGAAAATGACTTTGTCATCGTCAATTTCGCCGTTTAGATAGGCACTCTTGACGTCTATTTGGTGAGCTTCCCAATCGTTTCTAGCGGTTGTCACTAGTATGATTCTTAGAGATGCCATTTTGGCTACAGGGGCAAATATGTCAAAATAGTCGATTCCTTCGACTTGGCTAAAGCCTTGGGCTACTAGCCTGGCTTTGTACTTGTCGACGTCGCCTAAAGCAGTCTTCTTGACTTTGAAGACCCAGCACCAGCCAACCACATTGGCGCCTTATGATAAAATTGGATAATGACCAGACCAGGGATTGAACCTGGAACCTTCTGGATACATGCCAGCTGCTCTACCAATTGAGCTATATGGCCAAGGTTATACAATGTAGGATCTTAAACATGACATGCAACCACGGACATCTTACACAGAATAGCTGCTGCATACTGGGCTGGCTTACAAATCAGAGGTATTATCCTATGGAGTATTGGTATGTCAGAGTATATTCTAACACTCCCTCCTGATCTGACATATCCATATATGGTAAGTGTATAAACATAGCCAAGCATGTAAGAATGACTAAGCTTATATAATAGCACAATAAAGCACCAGGGCTCATAACCTGATAAGAACAAAGCTTGAAGGAAGTGTCTAGCCACTTGCTGAGAGCAATCAGGGACTGGAACTAGAGTCCAATGTGAGTAACTAGAGAATTAAAGAGTATGACAGGTATACAGTACCTAGAGTCCAATGTGAGTAACTAGAGAATAGGAAGCATTGGACTCTGCAGTACTGTCCGAAGTTTTGTAAACAAAGGTAAACAAAGCAGCCACAAAGGCGAAATAATAGAGAACACAATCAATAGTGAATGATAGAAGAATAGATAGAGAAAGGAATGAAAATATAGAGGTAGCACAAAGGTGCAGAATCACCAAAACTAACACTCCCCCCTGATGCTGCACCTCCCAAGCATCAGCTCCCCCCTGATCTAATAAGTCCCATCATCTTCCTGAACACTTCCACTTTAGGCTTGGCAAGAGCCTTGGTCAACAAGTCTGCAGGCATTTCAGCAGTGGGAACAAAGGTAGGAGCAATCTGCCCAGAGTCAACAACATCTCTCAACCAATGCCATCGCAGATCAAGGTGTTTCATCCGACCATGGTGCTCAGGGTTTTTGGATACAGAGATGGCAGATTGGTTGTCAATATGAAGGGTGGAAGGAGAGGTGATAGGATAGCCCATTTCCTTCAACAAATTTCGCATCCAGCAAATCTCTTTGCCAGCCTCAACAGCAGCAATGTATTCTGCTTCAGTGGTGGACAGAGCAACAATGTTCTGAAGCTTGGAGCTCCAGGAGACAGCACCAGATCCCATCTTGACAATATAGGCACCAGTAGAACGACCAGAGTCCTTATCACCACCATGATCAGCATCAGAGAAAGTGGTGAAGAGTTCAGTGGAATTGGGATCAGGACCAAGGACAAGGGAATGATCAAGGGTGCCTTGCAAGTAGCGGAACAAGTGCTTGACAGCGCTCCAGTGAGTAAGACCAGGATTAGAGTTATATCTGGCAAGGACTCCAACAGTGTAGGCAATGTCAGGACGAGTGGTAGTAGCCAGATACATCAGAGCACCAACAGCAGCAAGGTAGGGAATGTCCTTCATCAAAGCAGGATCACTGGATGTTTTGGGAGACATGTCCTTGGTGAGGCGCAAACCAGGATCCATGGGAGTGGACACAGGCTTGCAGTCCTTCATGCCAAAGCGCTCCAAAATGTCCAGAGTGTACTGATGTTGGGAGAGGGAGATGGTGCGATTACTTGGGTCTCTAGTGATGGAAATGCCAAGTAGGTAAGAAGTAGGGCCAAGATCACGAAGCTTAAAGTGCAGGGAGAGGTCCTTGACAGCTTGGTCAAGTGCAGAAGTAGAAGTGGATGCCAGTGTCATGTCATCAACAAAGACAGGCAGGATAATGCACACATCAGCTCTGTTAAAGACATAGATGGCAGAGTCTGAATAAGTACGCTTGAATCCGAGTTTTTCAAGCACAGTGTGCATCTTCTGGTTCCACATTCTGCCTCCCTGCTTTGTCCCATAGATGGCCTTGTCCAACTGGCAAACAAGATTGCGAGGACCCTGATGGAATCCCTCTGGCTGATGCATGTAAACCTTGACATCCATGACTCCATTCAGGAATGCATGGGAAATGTCAATGGAGCGCAAATGGAGGTTGTGGATGGCTGCAATGGCAAGGACAACTCTGATGGATGATATGCGGACAGTAGGTGCAAATATTTCGAGGAAATCAAAGCCAGGGCGCTGGTTATAACCTTTGGCCACATATCTGGCCTTGTAGCGCTCAACAGTGCCATCCGAGTTGCGCTTGATCTTGAAGACCCACTTTCCACCAATAGCCTTGACTCCAGGAGGTAGTTCCACTAGTGACCAAGTACCATTGCGCTCATGAGCTTGAAGCTCTTCCATGGCTGCCTCTCTCCATTTATCTGCATCAGGACGCTTCATTGCATCTGCAAATGACCTAGGCTCAGCAGAGTCTCCAAAGTGTGCCACTTCATCATCAACTGCCTCAGAATCACTGTCATCACTCTCAATGGCAGGAGTAGGTTGTCTGTGTTGAAGCCACCATGGTCTAGGTGGTCTCCTAGCCCTTACAGGGCGTCTCAGTGCAATAGGCAAGTCAGGAGAAGGTGAGCGATGAGGAGGGTGATTTGGAAGCTCAGGAGGTTGATTCACAGGTGGTTTTGCATCAAGGTCCAAATGAGGCCCATTGTCAGGCAATGGTTGAGGCTGCTGAAGTGCAGCTGGTGGGCCTATATCTCCCCCTGGACCTGGTGCAGGGACATCCTCAATCAGGCCCAATGGCATGGATAGCGAAGGTGGAGTGGGAGGTGGAGGCGGGACATTGTCAGAAGACCTCTTCAAGCCAGGGAAGTAGCGCTCATCAAAATCAGCTCTCTCAGAGATAACAGTGTGCTTGGTGGTAGGATTGTAGAATTTCCATCCCTTGTATCCCTCAGGGTAACCAATGAACACACATTTCTCCATATGAGAGCCAAAGACGCCTCTTTTGTCCTTTTGCACATGCACATAGGCAGTGTAGCCCCAAACGCGAAGGTGAGACATGTCAGGCTTGCGTCCATACCACAACTCAAATGGAGTGGCATGGGCCACTGCATCAGTGGGACACCTGTTCCAGACATGCACCAAAGCGGACAGACATTCACCCCAGAAGCTGTTAGGCAATGCAGACTCTGATAACATGGCAGTGATACGCTCAGTCAGAAGTCTGTTTGCTCGTTCTGCCACACCATTTTGCTGAGGACGATTCCTGGTGGTATGCTGTCTGACAATCCCATGGTCATCTGTAAATTGCTCAAATTCCTTGGACATGTACTCTCCCCCTTTGTCATCGCGCAAAGCCTTGATTTTACGCTCCAATTGAGTCTCAGCATAAGCCTTGAATCTCTTGAAAGCATCAAAGACATCTGACTTGGCCTTGAGAGGCACAACAACACGGAATCGACTGTGATCGTCAATGAAGGTGACCCAGTAGCGATAACCAGAGAATGTGGGGGAAGAGACTTGGTGTACATCAGAATGGATGAGGTCCAAAGGATGAGCAGAGCGAGTATCAGATGAGGGGAATGGATTGGCATGCATCTTGCCAGACAAGCACGGTTCACAGACAGGATCAGGAGCAGCCTTGGATTCCAGTGTAAGCCCAGTGACCAGATCTCTCTGTATCAGTCTCTTGACATCAGCATGATGGTGGTGAGCCAATCTGCGATGCCAGAGCATCAAATCAAGTGGTATAGTCGCAGTAAAATGTCCCAATTCAAGACAAGCAGCAGTAAATCCATCAAGGAATGCTGCATTGTTGTCATTGATAGTTGCAGTGAACAAGAGAGTGTTGTCACGCATAAAGGACATGGAATGAGACGAAATGGTGACATTGAAACCACTTTGACGAGTTAAATACAAGACTGAGAGGAGATTATTTCGAAGATCTGGTACATGGAGCACTCTAGAGAATTCCACAGCCCTAGCCACTTTGCCATTCATCACAGGATTAAACACCACAGTACCAACACCAGCTGAATAGACGACAGTGTGATCAGCCAGCTTGATTGGCACACGATATGGGGTATAGTGGTGCACCCAATGACGATGAGGTGTCATATGAGAAGTGGTGCCTGTGTCTGCATTCCAATCAACGTCAGCATCAAGTTGGAGAGGGCAGTGAGGATCAGAGGGATGAATGGAACGAAGACTTGCATTTTCAGCTGATTCAGTGACCACAGTAGATGAATTGGCATTGTTGGGCGAAGATTTGGGCTGCTGAGAGGTATTCTGAGAGTTGCTGGGGCCTGCCTGAGCCTTATTGCCACGCTTGTAGCGATTCTTAGCGCCCTCCGCCGCCTGTTGGCGACTGATAACATATCTGTGGCATTTATCCTGGGTATGACCAAGTAAACCACAGAAATCACACTGAATGCGAGTAGAGGTGGTGGATTGGTTGCAATGATGGCAGTTAGGATGGGTACAGGTGCTATTAGCAGTGGTAGACAAAAAATGCAAGGCAGAATCGACTTCAGCACGACGACGGCGATTGACCTCTTCAGCAAGGAAAGCATCCCTGAGCTGAGTTTTATCCAAGGTGCCCAGAAGCAGTAGAGACGAAGTAAAGTGGGCATATTGATCAGGAAGCGCCCTAATCATGGCCATGCATGTCAATTCATCGTCCAATTCAGACAATGAGAAGCCAGTAGGACGAAGATTTTGAATTTGATGCATGCCTTCGTCAATTCTGGTCATGAGAGACTGCAGGGACTCGTCCTCCTTCTTTCTGATAGAGAAGAAGTCGTCATAGGCATTAAATCTCGTCCCAGGCTTCTTAGAGACGTGCACAATGGCCAATTTCTCCCAGATCTTGACAGGATCATCAATGATGCCATCAAGATGGATGCGCTGCTCTTTGGTGACATTGAGGTATAATGCACCAGCAGCCTTTTCAGCTCTCAACTCCCATTTCTCTATTGCTTCAGCGTCAGTCCCAGGACACTTTTCAGTGCCAGGGACAAGCCTCCACAGTCCCTTGGTCATCAACCAAGCTTGCATTTCACCACTCCACTGGGGGTAGTTAGTGCCAGACAAGGGATGGAACTTTGGGTCAGAGTCAGACATGATGGGTGTTGTATAAGACGATAGAGCGAATATAAATGATGTAGGAGATGGCTATAGGCGATGAAACAGTGGCAAAGATGATGGGCAACAGTAGGAGGCGAGCAGATAAGATGGTGAGGCGGTATAGAGAGGATATGGAGAGGGTGAAAAAGGGCAATGATAGGTCCAAATAGGGTCCAAAAAGCGTCCAAAAAGCGATCCAGGAGGGTGCTAAGGCTTCCTAGTGCTGCTACAGGGTTACGCCTGTGTTCCCCTTTCAATTCCACACTGATATTAACAGAGAAATCGCCTCGAGACAGTGTTGGTTAATAGGGCTTGTATATGAGTCAACAAAGTGACTTAAGCTCCCCAAACACCGCAGACTGAGAGAGGCTCTAGGCAACAGCAAACTGAGGCAATGCAGGCGAGCTTCACAGTCTATAGGCTTGTTCTATCTGATAATGGACAGAGTAGAGAAGATTGGAGCTTTATGCACACACCAGATATGCCAAAAAGCGAAAAATAGGGCAAAAAGTCGAAATTGATGCAGAGACAGATAAGATGGATGGATTGCCACCAAATCAGAGGTATAGGGAACGTTTTTATAGAGTAATAGATGGCCCAAATATTACAAGATCCGAGCACAGGATGTGGAGATATGGAATAGGGGGCCAAAAGGTGATCAAATGATGATAAAGGCTCACAGAAAGATCCAGCTCAAATCCAACCGCTCTGACAGGTCTCCTAGGGTTATTTAGGCCGTAGAAGACGATGGTAGAAGTTACAGGACAATCAGATAAGGATTGGGCGAGATATGGTGCAGATAAGACCAAAAAAGCGTCCAAAATGGGGGTAACTTGCAACAAGGAGTTGTTGTTGGAGATCAAGATGAGATCAGAGTAATCTGAGGTGATGGATGAGATAATAAGAGTCCCAGAAGACGATGGTTACGATGGATAAGCAGTAGGACACTTGGATGGTGAGATATGAGGTCAGGAAGATGGCTAGAGCACAGGGCTCATAACCTGATAAAATTGGATAATGACCAGACCAGGGATTGAACCTGGAACCTTCTGGATACATGCCAGCTGCTCTACCAATTGAGCTATATGGCCAAGGTTATACAATGTAGGATCTTAAACATGACATGCAACCACGGACGTCTTACACAGAATAGCTGCTGCATACTGGGCTGGCTTACAAATCAGAGGTATTATCCTATGGAGTATTGGTATGTCAGAGTATATTCTAACACCTTATGGCTTTTCTACGTACGTCCATGTTCTGGCTTTGTCTAGCCTTTCTAGCTCTTCATTGATGGCTGATTCCCATTTGTTCCAATCAGGACAATTTTTTGCTTCTTCGACGGTTCTGGGCTCGACACCATCAAGGTCAGCCATACGTGCCGCCATGGCCACATTTTGGGCCAGGTCTCTTAAGGCCTTGTCGTCCCTCTCTTCTTCATCTGTTCCCTCGGGGTCGTTAAGGTTCAGTTGGATGCCTCTGGGCAAGGTGGGTTCTTTATCAGTTTTTGATATTAACCCTTTTCCTTGTAGGAGGTCGCGGACGTATTGGGTTGGCTGACGAAGACGGGTGCTTCGACGAGGGGCCACTGGGGGTGGAACAGGAGGTTGAGCAGGAGGTTGATCGTTTTGTGGATCAGGTGGAATGATGGGTGCTTGGGGATTAGGTGGATCAATGAGTGCTTGGGGATCAGGTAGATCCTGAGGTGCGTTATTTGCGTTTATCTCGATGATCTGACTCTCTTTTTGGACTTGATCATAGGCATTATTCTCCCCCTCAAGCTCAAGAAAGGTCACATCATTAAACGTTGGGGTGAGTTTCAAGTCATCAAAGATGACAGAACGCTCAACTGTCACAGATCGACGTTCTGGCCAGTAAATCCTGTGCCCTTTGCTTTCGCTGCCAAAACCCATCCATCGGCCTGCACGCGCGCAGGCATCGAGCTTCGTTCCATCATTGTGATGCACCCAGACTTGGCTGCCCCATTCTTTTAGGGTGGAAAGGTCAGGTTTTACGCCATGGGCGGCCTCATGCGGTGTCATGCCGGTAAGTGCCTTTGTTGAGGTCCGATTCTTAAGCCAGACAGCGTGTCTGACTGCCTCTCCCCACAGATATTTGGGTAGGCTGCTTGCATGTAACATGGCGCGCACTTTCTCCATGAGAGTGCGGTTCACTTGTTCTGCCACCCCGTTCTGCTCGGGGGTATCATGGACGGTCAGTTTTCTGACTATTCCCATCTTTTGCAGGTATTCGTCAAATTCTCCGCTCAAGAACTCGCCACCTTGATCGCTGTGTAGAACCTCGATGGCGGCGCTCATATGATTTTGCAGCCATGCCTCATACGTGCGGAATTGCGAGAAAGTGTCACTTTTGTCGCGTATTAGGAACAGGTGGTGTTACGATAACACAATTTCCGGACATCTCCTTTTCCTTTTATTCTCCGCTTTAACTCTATACCTTAAAGTGCCACGCGGCATTTCCCTTTCTCGCGCCGCGTTGCCTTCCTTTTATTTTTAGACTTAATTCTCTCACGCAGTGGAGCTGGCCATACGGGCTAGGCCCTATGACATCATCAAGCCACTGCCTTCATCAACTGTATGGTACACATGTACAAACAACCTGTAGTAGTATATATACCCCAATAGATCCAGGAGACTCCTCAGCGAGTCCTCCTGTTGTATACCAACAAACTCACTTCAGCCTTAGGGGTAACCACTCCCCAACTCCATCATCTTTATAGTGTGTGCTGTGTGCGCCAGAGTAATTCACTCTTGGTTGTTATAGGTGGGTTTCCCGCGTCTTATTGTCTGTGAAAGCGACGTAGTAACATTTTCCTCCAAGTGTTTCTACAGGTGCTGGGCCCCAAAGGTCCATGTGTATCTCATCGCCGTAGGCCATTGCACGCTCGCCAGTTTTGATCTTAGGTACGGCTTCTCGTGTTATTTTTGCGTGCACACATGACTCACAGAAAGCGTTTTCATCACCAGGTATCAGCTTAATACCTTGGACTAGCCCATTATCAACCATGTGTTTGGCCGCAGCTGGTGCTATGTGTTCCATACGTTTGTGGAGGTCCATGATGGTGAGTCTTTCTATCGCTGCATTCGCACTTGGGCTGATTTGTCCAAAAGGACGAGAAGGATACACACCGCCGATGTTTGGTATTTGACCGATCACCTTGCTACTGGGGTTTGTGATTACACATTCCCCACGGCTGAAGGTGGTCTTATACCCGGCTTTATCAATTTGGCTAATTGAGACCAGCGTATGGGCAATGTCTGGTGTGTAAAGAACATCCTTCAGGGTGATTTGAGTAGGTCGTTCGATGCCGTTCGGCATATAGATGGTAAGCTCACCTCGCCCAACTGCAGCAAATGAATTTTGATTTGCAGCGCTAATAGGTTGGGCGGGTATTGTCTGAAAGGACTTCAAAAGATGACGGTAGGGAGTGAAATGGGCGGTAGCCCCCGAGTCGTACAACTCGACGGTTTCAACGCCATTGGTGAGTATTTCATTTTTGGCATAGAATGCTAACTCTTGTGATTCATTAGGTGGGGGGAGCGCTATGGCGCTCTATATGCCCTCTTCCTCGCGTTTGACCATCGCAATATTCGCTTGTTTGGGCTTCTTGCCCTTGTTATCAGTTTCTTGGGCATTGCCCTTTCCTTCAGCACTTTTGGTCGTTTCTGCGGTTGCGCCTTTCACTAGGGCAATTTTGGCCGATGTGGCCTTTTCCCCCACAGTTATAGCATTCGATCTTGCTATTGTCAGAAGGCTTGTCTTTGGGATCGTTCCTCGCTCCTCGGCCTCCACTTCGACCTCTACCGCCTCGACTCCTTCTGTTGGACATTGTAGTCGCTGACATGGCTGCGTTCTCGTTCTTGCCAGGTTGTTTGGTTGAGATGGTAAGACGGTCGTATTCTTGCAAGAGGTATACTATCAATGTTTTGGGGTCAATGGTGTTTCCGGTCATGTGGGCAAATGCGGATAGTTGGGAGACAAAAGTTGCATATTTGGAAGGTAGGCTTCTCATGACATTTGAGGATTTTTCTTTGTCACTGAGCTGTACCACCGCGGAGTTCAGTTGCTCCCACATCTTGCGGATTTTATTGATGTGGACTCGCATGTTTCCTTTGTCTGGACAGCGTAATGCGGCAAGTCTGTCTTGCAGTTCTGATTGTACTAATTCTGTCTTGTTTTCATTTTCTTGACAGATTAGCTTCCACATCTTGGCTACGGTGTCTTTGTGGAGGTTTTTTTGCAGGGTAAAGTCGGGTACGGTACGTGCCAGTATGTTTCTCGCTCAGTATTCTTTCTTTGACCATGTGTTCAATGCATCTAGGTCCTCCTTGCTCGACACGGGAGCAACCGTTGTCCCGGAGCTGGCCTGTGTGCTCTGTGCAGCAGCAGGTGGTGTAGGCGTTGGTTTGGGCGCGGTTCCCAAGAGGTGTTCGACACAGTCTCTGTCAGCCAGAGCCCATTCGAAACGCATCCGGTAAATGGACCAGTTTGAACCATTGGGTTTGAGTTTTGGGACACCTATAGTGTCTTTCTCGAGGTGAGTTGATTCGTCATTGCTGGGACTCATAATCTATTGTTTATCTAGCAATGAACAGCTCAGACTTTGAGTGAAGGTCTAAATATATTGAAATAATGTACCTAGCAATGAACAGCTGGAAAAACAAAAGGTAAGCTAGGTACTCGTAATTTAACACTAAAGGGGAATCTCACCTCAGACTTCGAGTGAAGGTCTGAGGTGTCTGCCTAACAACGACAGCGTATATAAGGGAGAACGGAATCAAAATCAAAAATGTTATCTGATGGCGCACGGGCCACTCCATCTACTAGGCCTGCCTAGTTCGGCGCTTGCGCCACTTCCCTTCTTTGTATGACACTTGTTTCTCTCATATCTCCAACAGTAATCCCATCATCAAGACAGCTGCCACTGATCTCACCAGATTAAACAGGAAATGTGCCAGTCTTCTTCAAAAAATGCGGTATGACACGCGATCTGTTTGATCTGATCATTGAGTTGCGACCTTCAACCACATCGGCTGGACTGGCAGAAAATTTCAAACGTAAGTCATCATGTCTTTTGTGCCTTCAACACTTACCTGGAAATGTGTCATTGACCGCAGAACTCCATCTTTTCGACTATCAGCAGCGCTTTCTAGAATACTTACAACATTTTGAAAAGAGAAGAAGGTGTCACTTGCCTTTTGAGCCATGTGCTCCTCTTGTGGAATTCTCACTACCAAACCTGAGCAATGCATATGGTGACAAACCTATTACTGATGATCTTATCACAGATGTTTATCTTGAAGTCAGTAAACGCTCGCGACAAGCTGAGTCATCTGAATACTTACGCACCTTGTCTGGTGAGATCCTTTTCCCTTCAGTAGCTGATCAACTCTGGAACTAACATGGGATGCAACAGGTGTTTGTATTTCTCTCGACAATACTTTCAAAGCTGCAGGGAAGGCAACAGTGGCAGATAAGCAGAAGACAAGGACTAAGTTCATGAGGGGGGGAATGCTTACCGCTATAAACGAGGATAATGAGATACTTTGTTGGGTGAGTTTTGTTTTATTAATGTTTGAACTTGCTGGCTAATCCGGATCTAACAGAGACTTTGCCAAACTCAAGCAAACACAGAAATGGAGGAGTTGCTTGAAGGCTTGAAGTCTGTCTATGAAAAACTGGATCAGCCCCTCCCACAAATGGTCATTGTTGATAACTGCTGCCACATACGCAGTGCAGTCAATAAAGCAATACCAGATGCACAAGTTGGCCTGGATGTATTCCATTTTATTATGAGGTAAGTAAACACGACTTATCTGTTCTTGTACTCACATATTTGCAGGTATCTTGCTGCCATTCTCAACGGAACCAGGAACCCTCAGTGTTCGGCTGTAGCCCACGACATTAGCAAAGCTATCCTGAGTTCACGGGCATCAGGTCATGGAGAAAGTGCGAAGTATCGAACAAAAGAAGAGCAAGAGGTCCAGCTTCAAACGATGTTTGAGAAGTGGGCCGAAAAGGGCGGGGTGTGGTCTGCAGCTGCCTCCAAGGTAAGTACTTCATTTTTCATGCCATATACACTACTACTGACAATCTAAATTACACAGGTGCACACAGAACAGCTCGCACACGTCAAAAAAGGGTGTTTGATGCGAGTTCGGCAAGATATAAGATCAGATGGAAGCCGCATTGAAGGGTTGCACAAGGCTTGGAACGGCATCATGCGGTCATTTGCCAGCGGCCTGGAGATGTTCTTAGCCTTAGGTTTTGATTTTGTGATACGTCGTAACATACGCATTCGCTTCCGCTCGCAGAAACCGAGCAAATTCCTTAGTTCCATCCATGGGACACACCACATCCGCTTAGCTAACCACATTGCCAACTCATGGAACAGCTTGCTTTCCACAGAACCAACTCACAGCAACAACAGTCAAGAGCTGAAGGCACGCCCTGTCCTTTCATCCATCAACACCAAAGAATCCTTTGGTCTCGGCCCCTCCAACCACAGCTCAACATTTGGAGGCCTCATAGAACTTAAGACTGAGGCTGATTTTGACGAGCAAGACCTCAGCCTGGATCAATTAGTCTTAGATGCCGAGATTGAGCCCACATCAATCCTGCAATGCCTGGATATCGACCCCAACTTGCTTACAGTGCCTCAAATCACCTTAGGCAAGTATCCTCTTCACCATGACTGTCTTGCTACCTAACTAACTTCTGTCCTTTTCAGCTGACACACAACACTCATGTGCTCTACTTGAGTATGCCTCATCGCAACCAGGTGAAATGATGGCTATAACTGAGCCAACAGCGCTTGCCAATTCCAGCCAATCTGGGCCTCTCAAGCGGAAGGTCCCATTTTATGACCTAACTGAAGAGTTGGGGCCACTTGCTGGCGCATTGGAAGGCCCACTACAGAAGAAGAGTTGTATCCCCACTGCTCAGGTATGTAGATTTAATATCCTTTTTGGAAATACTAATGTACACTACTGCATAGGAGACAACAGCGAACACTCTAAGTACATCAGCAACAAACGCCCCAAGTACACCGGCTACAAATGCCTCAAGTATACAGGCAAAAGGCACTGTAAGTACATATCTGACTATAATGAAATCAACACTGAGCATGCCCATGGTACCCACTTATCCGGACCAACCAGCCATCCACCAGCAATATTATCAGCATGTTTTTTGCACCTGGATCAAAGACTGTCGCCCCCAAGTGCCCTAGTGACAAACACACCAGCCAAAACTTGATGGCGACCTTCTCACCACTTGCTGACCCCAACTTGAATGGTCTCTCACGCTCTCAGCGCATATTTTCCATCTCGACGGGTATCGACCCACGTTCACTCACCCTCAACTCTAGTGCCGAATTTTTCCTATTCATGGATATGCGCCTACAAAATAAATGGGCATTGTTCAGCATGACATCTCAAAAATGGGTTCTGGCTACAGCAGACTATAATAGTAGACTAGAGAAGCTTCCTAAGTCTGGTGGTAGCCCAGCAGTTATGAAAAAACCCCGTGCACTATTTGACAAATTGGGGGAAATAGAGACAAAGATTGTCGAGAGGATCAAGTCTAATAATTTTGTTTGTAAGAATTGTTTGATTCTCTCATATTGTACTACTGAATTGTCTGTCTCTTTCATCAGCATCAAGCGGCAATGAGAAGTTTTGGAGAACCCATTGTTTCATTGTCCAGCTCGTTAAAGGAGAAAACACAGACCTGAAATCAGTAAGTGATAAACATACATGAAACAATATATGACTGATCTAACTATGCTACTAGCGTAAGACTCAAATATGTAGCTGTTGCCGCACTATCAAGTACCCAGGATTGACAGGCTTTTCAGGAAACCACAAGAAACTATTCTGTTCTGATGGTGTTCCTGTCAGAAAGGATTTCCCAGACGAGCTTCCACCCTGGCCACAGCCTCAAGGCATTTTTGTGAATGGCACTCACTTTCATCCTCGGGTTTTCCTCTCGACTATTCGTGAAATATATGAGAAGGTCATAATTGAGGGTGGAAATGGTGCTGACCTTGAGATGGAATATCAGGCATTTGCGGCTATGCTAGTCAAACGAATGACCCCTCCAATTCCAAACAGCCCAGTCTTGTTTCGGCTTTATGAATCCCTCACGTTGAGTCCCCCCATGCCGGATTTGGTCAAGGAGCACGAAGGAAAAAAGTATTTGAGGGTTGACTGTCTTTCCGACATGGAGCAAGCAGTAGTGGTTTCTTGAAGTTTTTTTCATGATTTTCGCTCTTTTCCTTACTTTTTTCTGCATTTCCGTACTTTTTTCTGCATTCACACTACTCATAATACTTGTGCAATACACATGAATGGGCACAGATCTCTAATATAAATATTTTATGCCTTTGCTGTCGCTGTATAGACTTTCGAAAGAGTACCACTACCTATGCGAACCCCGAAAATAGGGTTAGAAACGAACTTGGTGAAAAAAAAAAGATGCAACCTGGGGTAAAATGAAACAGTCAGGTCACGTGAATAATCGGTCGACAATCGGTCAATCGGTGACTTCCCTGGCTATGGCGGAGTTGCCCACCAAGGTATGGCGGAGTTGCCACACACACGCGCACCGTCTTTCATCTTTTCATTCAGTCCAGCCAAGTGCCACAACATGGAAAAGCTCAACTGTTGGGTCTACGGTGAAGATGTTGAAAGGATCTCGACTGTCGACATCTCAAGTTCAGAGACTGTCTACGACCTCAAAGAAGCCATCAAGAACAAGAACTCCTCACAGTTCCGTGATGTGGAAGCAAAGTATCTCGATCTCTACTCCATTTGCCTTCCTGACGATGAGCAACTGGAAGGCAAACTTAGTCGGTGGGATCATTCAAAGGAAATGAAGCTCACCAGACGATCCAAATTATCAACCCTTTTCCCCAAGTCTAAGGAAGGGGTGTGGTTCATCATCGTCCGTGCACCCAGTTCTTGTACGCATTTATCACTGTATCCTATTACCCTTCTGACGGCAAACTTTATGACTCAGTTTCACGCAAAATTGAAGTCCCAAACTTGACTCTTTGCTGCTGGGTGCGCGGTGACAGATCCAGTGTCGTCTTTTATGTCAAGGTCTCAAGTTCAGAGACTGTCTACGACCTCAAAGAAATCATCAAGGACAGGAACCCCTCGCGGTTACGTGATGTGGGGGCAGGGTATTTCGATCTCTACAAAGTTTCCTTTCCATATGAAGGAGGTGATTCACTTGAAGGTGTGCTCAGCAATCTCACCAGTCCCAGTCTGGAAAATCCTCTGGAGGCGGGGCAGCAGTTGTCAGATGTTTTTACGCAACCGCCTGCCAGAAACCAACTTCACCTTATCATTGGTATGTGGCACTTGCAATTCCAACTCAACCTCAATCATGATGATCATTCTCTTCACATTACCAGACGTGCTTTCCATCAAATTTTGGATGCGAGGGGCAAATCTTGCGGGTTTCATTAAAGTCACAATACCAGCGGAGGCCGATATTGGCGATCTCAACGCTTCGATCAAGGCGGCATACAGTGGTATTATACCCTTTCCTGGCTTCAGAGTTTACAAGGTTACAGCAAACAACGATGACGAGCTCCACGAGATTCTTGGTGCTACAGGATCGGGTCAAATGCTGCAAGGGACTGTGATTCTGAAGGAGGTCTTCGATGACGTCCCTTTTCTTCAGATGCCACGTGTTGTCGTCGAGCTACTCGATGAAAGTAAGCAAAAAGCATGACGGTATTGGCTCGTACTCACCCAAGCTCACAGAGATAACGGGACATCCTCCATCGGCATATCGTCACGTAGGAAATGGCGATCCGATCGCGACTGCACGCAATAAATTCCTAATATCCACTCCAAAGGAGAAGCCTTCAGCCACTGGCACCCCGTCTGAATTTCGGAGACGACAGAATAATTCACAACACCTTAAATCTATACCCTGTGGTCGTCCTCGCGAATATGAGGAAACTATCCCCGTAACCCTCTTACATCCTGTCTTTGGCCAGTTTCTTGATGACTGTCAGACTATTGATGTAACAGCTGACGACAACAGTTTCGTCGAGCACCTCGCGATAGCCATGTCGGCCTTGTATGAAAACGAGAATGGACGGCTTGAAGCTGTTGACAAGGTATTTCAAAAGTACCGCTTCCACTTCACCATCACCAAAACGAAAACTACTGCATATATTACGGATGCAGACATGCAATCCCAAGGACATCGTTATGTGATCGCCGAATACAAGAACGAAACCGGGAATGCATCAGCCGAGCCGTATTTCCAAGCCATAGGATACTACCTGGAGGGGACGAGAGATAAGGCTGTCAAATTCAGCAGATCCCCTTTGCCCTGCCTCCTTCTCGCCATTTTCGGTTGGTCCCTGCATACTGTACTGGTTCTATGGGGAGCTAATTGGTTCTTTCTGCAGGGCCACATATAGTGTTTGCCGGTGCCGCATGGAATTTGCGTCCGACGGTACAGATCTTGTCAACACCTATTGCGTTTCACTTTCATTCCACCGATATCCACAATCGACTTACTGTGACACGTCACATGGCCGCTTTTCGCAAAGCTGCCGAAAGGCTGAATGAGTATTACGAAAACCTGACAGAAACCCCTCTTCTTACTTCCGCACCAGTCCCCCCTCATATGTTCGCGTACCCAACGAGTTACAGATCGCTTCACAGCAATACACTGAAACATTTCCGGTACGTGATAGAACTGGACTCTGACAAGCTCGTCTTTTCCGGAACCGAGGACGAAGGCGATCATATCTGTATCAAATTCGTTCGAACTTATTCGTGTGATGCCCATAAACACTTTGCAT